CAATCAGCAAATACTGATGAAGCACTCACTAGGTGCCAGGCACTATTCTAGGCTTGGGGGATAGAACAACAAACATGATAAGACATTCTAGAACTGAGAGGGAAAGGATAAAATACATCTGCTCTGTCCTTTCTGGAAATCCAGGAACAGGCATGCTCTCCTTCCCAGATCCCTTGATCCTGGAGTGACCCAGACCTATGCTTCTCACGTGGAGATGAGGACCCTGGGAATAAGCAGTTAACATGCTGGTGGTCTATGAAATCACATGGTATACAGTCCAGAACTGTTTATTTTTCAGAATAAATACCTTAACATTTGTTTTTATTAAAATAAATTTGCATACATTTTTAAGATAAAAATAATGTAAAAGAAATAGGAAACTGCAACTCAAACACAGGAAAAAAATCAGTTAAGAGAACCTTTCTGTGAGAGGGGCCAGATGCCCAAAAGACTTCAAAGTAGCCAACATAAATATGTTCAAAGAACTAAAGGGAACTATGCTTTAAAGAAATAAAGGAAGGTGTGATGGCAATTTCTCATCAAATAGAAAATATCAATAAAGGTTGAGAAATTATTAAAAAAAAGAATCAAATAGAAATTCTGGAGTTGAAAAATGTAATACCCAAAATGAAAAATTCACTAAAGGGGATTAATAGCAGATTTGAAGTGGCTGAAGAAAGAATCAGCAAATTTAGAGATAGATCAATAGAGATCATGTGATCTGAAGAACAGAGTAAATTTCCTAAATTTAATGAAAAACATTAGTTTACACATCAAAGAAGCTCAATAAACTCTAAATTCGATAAACACAAAATATACTGACAGATTACAGTAAAAATGCTAGAAGAAAAAGAAATAGGAAACCCAATTAGATTAACTGTTGACTTTTCATCAGAAACCCTGGTAGCCAGAAGGCAGTGGGATTGCATAGTCAAAAGTTGAAAGAAAAAGTCTATCAAGAATACTCAGTAAAACTATTTTTCAAAAGAGATGAAATAAAGATATCCCCAGATTAAAAAAATAGACAATTCATTGCTAGCAAACCTGCCTTGTAAGATATACTAAAGGATATACTAAAGTTATACTAAAGATATACTAAAGTTCTTCAGGCTGAAAGCAAGTGACTCCAAATAGTAATCTTGATCTATAAGGACGTAAGGGGATCAGTAAAGCTAATCACATGATTACAAAAGACAGTATAAAAGCATATTTCTTCTTTCTTCTTTTAACTGATTTTAAAAGCAATTGTATAAAACTGTATAATTATATAAAACTGTGTAATTATGGTGTGGGTCTACCATTTATAGCAACTATTAGATAATAACAGCACAGAGGAGTGGGTGGGGCACAGCTGGAGTCGAGTAAGAAAGTGACATCATATAAACACACAGACCCACACAAAAGGTTGTACATAAATGTTCACAGCAGTATTATTTGTAATAGCGAAAAAGTGGAAACAACCCAAATGTCCATCAACTGATGAGCAGTAAATAAATGAGGTAAATCCAAACATTGAAGTGCTATTTGGCAACAAAGAAGAATGACGTCCTGAAATGCACTACGGAGAATCGGGAGTTTGAGGTTCCTGTGAGCTAGGCTGATACCACGTACTCTAGCCTGGCAAGGAGGAGTGAGACTCGCCTCAGCCTCCTGAGTGCTTGGGACTACAGGCACGCGTCAATACATCCCTGGCCTAATTTTTCTATTTTAAGTAAGAGCGGGTCTCGCTCATTGCTCAGGCTGGTCTCGAACTCCTGAGCCTCAAGCAATCTCCCTGCCCGCTTCCCAGAGTGCTAGGGTTATAGGTGTCGAGCCACTGGCTGGCATGGGTTCCTTTTTTGCATGCGGGCCTCTCACCTCAGGAAGTGAGCCATACATCAACATTACTCTGGTCACAAAGTGCGGTGAAATGCAGGTACAGAAAGCTGGGTGTTGTGACTCACGGTGCATGCATACCCACAAGAAGGCAGGCTTCCAGCCTGGCACCCAGGAAAGGCCAGATTACTAGAGCAATAAATCTTAGAAGTCCGACATCAAGAGGTAGGAGCCCATAAAAAGACAAAGGGAGGCCGGGCGCAGTGTCTCAGCCTGTAATCCTAGCATTCTGGGAGGCTGAGGCTGGGAGGATCACTCAATGTCAGGAGTTCGAACCAGCCTGGCAAGAGTGAGACCCTGTCTCTACTAAAATAGAAAGAAATTAATTGGCCAACTAAAAATATATAGGAAAAAATAGCCAGGCATGGTGGTGTGTGCCTGTAGTCTCAGCTACTCAAGAGGCTGAGGCAGAAGGATCACTTGAGTCCAGGAGTTGGAGGTTGCTGTGAGCTAGGCTGACACCATGGCACATGGCACTCTAGCCCAGGCAACAGAGTGAGACTCTGTCTCAAAAAAAAAAAGACAAAGCGAACAGGTGGAGATGCTTCCCCAACCAATCCTTATATGGAAGAACCATTCATTTGGCAAATATCTGCTGGCATCTGTCACATGCCAGGCAATGTTCCAGGAAGAAGGGTGTATTCTTTCTTTTTTTTTTTTTTTTGAGAGAGTCTCACTCTCTTGCCCAGGCTAGAGTACTGTGGTATCAGCCTAGCTCACAGGAACCTCAAACTCCCGAGCTCAAGCAATCCTCTGCCTCAGCCTCCTGAGTAGCTGGGACTACAGGCACGCGTCATAATGCCTGGCTAATTTTTCTATTTTTAGTAGAGACGGGGTCTCGCTCTTGCTCAGGCTGGTCTCGAACTCCTGAGCTCAAGCAATCCTCCTGCCTCGGCTTCCCAGAGTGCTAGGGTTATAGGTGTGAGCCACTGTGCCTGGCTGGTGTTCCTTTTTCTTGCATGGGGCTCTCACTCAGGAGAGTGAGCCATACATCAACATTACTCTGGTCACAAAGTGCGGTGAAATGCAACAAGATGAAACGGTTCCATTTATGTGAAACATCAGGGAAGAGGCCAAAGAAGCAGAATTATGGGCCTGGGGTTTGGAGCAGTGGAAAGTGACTGCTAACAAGTATGGGGTATCTCACTGAGTTGATGAAAATGTCCCAATGACTGTGACAATGGTTGCCCACCTTTGTGAATATACCAAAGAGAATAGTCTGGGCACGATGAGAATAAACAATACAGCTGTTCTTAAAAAACAAACAGAACCAACTATCAGGACTGAGGATAGTTGTTTGGGCAGCACTTGCAGGTAGTCTGTCACTCATCTGCGCCATCCCCTTCCGTGCGCCCTCTGACTATTAAATATCCAGTTTAGAGATGAAACATCAGGACTTCCAATTAAACAATAGCCCTAATATTCCTATAATAAAAAATGTCAGTTTAATCATCTCTCTTCTTCCCCAGACTTTAAGCTCCTCAAGGGCAAAAGCTGTGTCTTTCTCTTGTGTGAGTCTGCGGGGCCCAGCACAGTGCCTGGCCTATCACAGGAGCTTCAAGACACCTCTGCTAAATGAATGGCATGGAGAAGGATGTGAAGTAGAAGGAGCAATGAGCAAAACAGACATGGCCCTGCCCTCATCTGGCTTAAACCATAATGCAGAGGCAGATGTTACATGAATTGCATAAATGAATAAATCCCATAAATAAGTTTGCAGTGGCAAACTGTGCTGGGGATGTTGATGGTGTGATGGAAGAGACTGACAGAGGGATGTAATTTAGTCTTGTGGGTGAGTGAGTGATGTTAGTTGAGACCTGCAAGAGGCTGTGGGAGTGAGGACAGGGGAATTGGCAGGTGAGGAAGAGCGTGCGGGCCTGGAAGACTCACAGGAGGGCAGAAGGGCAAAGGCCAGGAGGCAGTGTAAAGGGGAGTATGGCTCAAGACAAAGCAATAAGGTAGGCAGGAAGTCTCGCACAGGATTTTTCACTGTATCCTAAGTTCAGTTTTACATGTGGGTAGACTGGTGATGTCATGAACTGCGAGGAGCAAGGGAGAAAGACAGTAAGAGGGAACCATATGAATGGCGGTGACGTATGCTGGCATAGCAATAAGAGAGTGCAGATTTGGGGGAGAAAAAGTTTGAATGTCGAGTTGTCACACTTGCTCTACCTGCAAGAGATACAAGTAGAGGTGTCAAGTGGGCAGTTGGGTAGACAGGTCTGGAGGTGAGAGGAGTGGACACAGCTAGAGGGATAATCTGACAGGTGTGGGGCCTACCCACAGCATCTACAACCATGGAAGGGGTGAGACCATATCAGGAGTGAATGCAGAATGAAACAGGAGGGCAGTCTGGAAAGAAAGACCAGGGAGAGGAAGCCAAGCCAGCAAAGAGGACAGACATGGCAAAGTGACAGACATAGGAGGAAAATGAGAAAAAGTGAGTTCTCTGAGGCCACGGGGCCCATAGAACTGGATGGGACCAAAGGGCCAGTGACAACAGAGCCAGAAAGTGCCTGCTGTGCTTGACAGCATCGCAAAAATAACTGCTGAGCCCACGGAGAGTGTTTCAGTAAAGCGTGTAGGCAGAAGCCAGACCCAAGTGGCCAGGAGGGAGGAACGAGCAGCAACTGGCAGCAGAGTCAGGGCATGGGTCAAAGTGAGTGGTGTGTGTCTGGTGTGTATCGGGTGTCTGAACACTGAAAGGTGGGTCCCCAGTCAATCCTCTTACTGGATCCCATGACTCTTATTGACACTGCTATTCAATATGTGGTTTTAAATGATGAAAAACTTCCTTAAAAGTTTAAGTACGCATATTTCCTCAGTCCACATGTGTGGTTCAGATGTCTCTAAGCTACTAGCAACTTTTTTTTAACAGTTCCAGATATCCAGGCAGTAACATTCATATTATGAAATTCTAACAAAGAACATCTGTTTTAAGGATCAGGGCAAGGGATGTAAACTCCAAATCCTGATGCATTTTGCCCCATTAATTTTCATTCTCACATACCTCAGGATATTTCAACCTATACAGCTTCTCAAAAATGGTTTTTAAAAACTAAAACCAGACTATACAAAACAGATATAATACAGTTACAAAATGTTATACATCCCTAAATTCTCACCAGGTTTCCTTTCAAACGCAGAACTGATTAAAATCAGAGGTGTGTTCACTTCTTCTGTGGAAGAAGCCCCATGACTTCCTGTTTCAGACATGCCATGATCACCACAGAGAACCAGCAAATTGGGTAAAAGAGTCTCTCTCTCCTATAAGGCAAAGGAAAAATATTTTCACGTGCATTCTGATTGAAAAGAACACATGATCTTGTTAAGAAAACAACTTAAAAGTATAGCTTTACTTTATAAATAGTATTAATATTCTTTCTCAATGAATTATATGTATTTTTCCTAACAGCTTATAGTCAGATCGAAAGGTCAAAGTCAAATAATGTCATAAACGAAACACACAGAATCACACACAGCTCACAGAACACAGCAGCGTTGTCCTTTGGCCTCTGCTGGCAGAGGATTTGTATTTGGTTTCTGTCTTTGCCACTTTCAAGCTGTGAGACCCTGGCATGTTATTCTTCATGACTCGGTTTCCACATCTGTCAACAGAGATACTAACAGAATCTATTTCATAGGACTGCTGTGAGAATAAAACACAAAGCACACGGAGAGAGCCCTGAGCCGTTCAGGGGGTGCCTACGAGGCTCCTCTGCCTGCGAAGGCTCCAGCCACTGGGCCTTTGCTGCTACGGGATGTGCCAGCAGGTCCTGCCTGGCCCTCGCCACGTCCGGCTGAGCACACCTGCACAGGCAGCACGTGTCGGCTCTCCCTCCCTCCCTTCAAGTCTGCTCACACTGTACATGTCCTCATGGAAGGCTTCTCTGAAGGTGCTATTTATTTATTTATTTACTTATTTATTTTTTGAGACAGAGTCTCGCTTTGTTGCCCAGGCTAGAGTGAGTGCCGTGGCGTCAACCTAGCTCACAGCAACCTCAAACTCCTGGGCTCAAGCAATCCTCCTGCCTCAGCCTCCTGAGTAGCTGGGAGTACAGGCATGCACCACCATGCCCGGCTAATTTTTTCTATATATATATATTAGTTGGCCAATTAATTTCTTTCTATTTATAGTAGAGACAGGGTCTCATTCTTGCTAAGGCTGGTTTCGAACTCCTGACCTCAAGCAATCCTCCGGCTCGGCCTCCCAGAGTGCTAGGATTACAGGCGTGAGCCACTGCATCTGGCCTGCAGGTGCTATTTAAAACCACGGCCTCTCTCGGGCACAGGAGTGCCGTTCCCTCCTCCTGCCCTGCTTGTCTGTGGCACCAATCACTTCCTAGCACACTCAGCACGTCTTATTTGTCTCTCCTGGCTAGGATATAAGCTCCATAAATGGCTGTTGACTGTCTCACTGCTGTACTCAAATGCCCAGACAGAAAGATGCAGAAGGTGTTCAGGAAATATTGGTGAAATTAACAAATAAATGGGTGGAGGTAACAACTGCAACTTTTTTTTTTAACAGTTCCAGATATCCAGGCAGTAACATTCATATTATGAAATTCTAACAAAAAACATCTGTGTTTTAAGGATCAGGGCAAGGGATGTAAACTCCAAATCCTGATGCATTTTGCCCCATTAATTTGCATTCTCACATAGCTCAGGATATTTCAACCTGTACAGTTGCTCTGCAGGGCTGCGGTGTGCACGTGGATGGGGACCATGGCTGGCAGACTGAAAGTGGACACGACATTCACATAGGTCACTTGAGTTCACGTGGGTAGTTTTATTTTTTCTAGGAAGTATCCATGTGACCCTCCATCATCACCACACGATGCACTCCAGTGAGCCTCACCTTCGACAGCAGCGCGGTGTGAATCCTCATCAGGACACCGTCCATCTCGCTGAGCTTGCGCCCGATCAGGGGGCTGTGGGGCCCAGAAACGTGGCCAATGTGGTCCAGCCCCAGGTAGTGGAGGATTAACACGTCCCAATCTCCTCTTTTTAATACTTTGTCCAAATGTCTCGTGACATTATTATCCACCTTTAAGGGGAAGAGGTACACACAAGCAGCTTACCTAACTTTCCCTCGATCTTTACTGCCCAAGGACAAAATGAAAAGTCATTTTAAAATCTGGGGGCTTTTAGGTAATAGAACTTGTGGGAGGTGAAAGACAAAAAAGTTGTCATTAAAAATAAATAAATAAATAAACATTAGCATTAAACTTTTATTAATACTGTTTTTGTGACCCTATGCTGTAGATCAAACATACTGATAATTTAAATGAATTGTTCTGACAAAACTTGTCCTGTGGGATCACTGCTGGTCTTAACAAAAGCTGAGCAAATGAGCAAGTTAAATAGACCCCAAGTTGTCATGAAGTAACTGAGGGCAAAGGGCAGTTAACTAAAGACAGGACGGTGCCCAGAGTTAAAGGAACCAGGATGGTGCAGCTGAGGAGAAGCTGCTCCTGCAGGGAAAGGGACACAGCACTCAGTGCACACACTGTGGAGAGCGTGGCCCGGTCAGCCCAGACCCCTCAGCTAGCCCACCTTCCTCCCCACTGAAACACCTACAACAAAGGGTAGTGTTTCCGAGTAATGCCACATATAGCATGGGGAACTCAGACAGCACTGACAAGTAACCGGTGTGTCTGCACAGGTCAATCTAGAGCCACTGTGGCACAGACTGTCAGCATGAGCAGGACTGCACATGCTCCATCAGGCCCAGCGAATGAAGGGGTGAGGCTGCCCGACCAATGCCAAGCATAGACACACGGGAGTGCTCCTGCCCCTGCTCCTGGGTCAACTCTTTAAGTGTGGGTCTAATCTCAGTCTCTTGTTGGAAAAGCAGGCAAAGCCCCTCAGGACCAAGCTCTGCCCAGCTGACCACCTTTCCTCAGAGCAGGATGATGCTCCACCTGCAGAACCAAATAGCTTCACGGATCCCAGGCAGGCTGTGGAGTCCTGCAGCTCTGCCACCTGTCCTATCCACTTGGGAAGTCTCCATTCACCCATCAAACTCAACACAGCCCTTCCTGATCCTCTGTACCCCTCAAAGGACGCTCAGCTGTTCCATGCTTTGGGCTGCATAAAACTTTGATCACAGGGTTTCCATCTCTGGGTTGGAAACAATTATGTGCGCAGATCATTTTTATAATCTCTCTATTCTACTCCTGATGAATTAATAAAAGCTGCATACAAAATACTATTGCCTCTTACTAAGTAAGGGTGGTGCCAGGTTCTACCAAGCATGACAGGTTTCTCTTATTTTAAAAACTGACCTCTGTGTAATCTGACACAAAAAATGAGGTTGTTCCATCATATTCTACAAAATGCTTTGGAAATAATTTAATCCACGTTTCATCTCCATAAAAGAATATTCTTTTCCCAGCTGCTTTTGCCTGTCTGATCACATTGTCTTCAAGTAGTGCAGGAGAGTTGAGGTTCCTGACGACATCAATGAAGCCAGGGAGGCTCCCTGTCATCAATGCCTGCAGTGGGAAACAGTCAAGGGTTAGACCATGGAGTCCCAAAGCGCAGCATGAGGCGGGCACAGAAGATCATGTTACTGGTGAAGCAGGTGAGCATGAAATTAAGGCATCCCCAAGACTAGAGGTTGAGTTAATACTAGGACAGCAATTACAGTAAAGAAGGGAAAGCTACACAGATTCTGGGCAAAAATGGCAAACTCAATAATAAAGATGTAACCATTAGAGATGTAACCATTAGAGAACAGTTGTGGCTCAGAATGATCCTTTTGGCTGCTGAGAAGATAAAGGAGGTGGCTAGGGACAACCAGACAACAGCAGCGGCCAAACATACAGAGTAATAACAGGAGTGAAGCACATGGCAGAACATGGTACACATTGAAAACATGAACCTGCATATTCAAACATTCTGTCAGGTTCCCCCTTAAGATTCAGACCTGCTCCGTGTGATAAGCAAACTCCATTAACTCTAACAAACTCCAAATTCTAATCATCCAGCAATTCTAATGTCCACCTCTGAGTGAAAAATCAGGAGGAAAGCAGTCCCTAAGTATGAACCTCCAGAATTTGCAGAGTAAACTGGGCCAGGGATGTTAGTGGGACCGTCCCTTTAGCCGTAACCTCCCATGCTGCACTGTATTTTCAGAGGAGGGTGACATGTTCTCATACTTTCTGACATAGAGTTGAGCACAGGACCTCAGAGGTCACAGTAATGGCCAATGGATCTCTGTGACTTGAAGTTATACAACCACACACGCACTGGCATCAGGGCCTCTCTGATAAAAATCAACAGGAATCTGGATAATGCCAACAAATGTAATGATTTTGCCAAAACTTCATTAATAGCAAATAAATACAAATATGAAATAACTAGACTTCTGAAATGCCAGAGTGAGGAGCTCAGTGAATCCTCTCCCCTAAGAGCAATAACAAAACCATTTGAAACTGTCAAAATCAACCATTTCAGAACTTTGGAAAATCACCAAAATTATATAATTGAGAAGTGCTTATTAAAAAAAAGACTAAATCTCAGTAAGAACAGCAAGTACCTGTGGTGTTTTCACACAGGGCAGCTCCCATCGTCACCCTCCCACCCCCGCCCCCAGCACCAGGACACAGCAGCGCGGAGGGCCTGACCTGCTGTGGACTCCAGGGAAAGCCCCACACCCAGGGAGGCTGTGAAAACACAACAGAGAATGCTGACGTCCCACCTGCCTGAGTCTTCCACAAAGGGTCAGATCTGAGGACTGAGGCGGCTAGAGTAGGCTTTTGTAAGCTCCCACATATTCCTGGAATCTGGAAGACACACTGAGGAGACCAGAGGGGGCCCCAGTTACCCACTCCTTCTGCCTGAGCAGGAAGTCTTGCTGAAACACAAAGTGAGTCAGGGCAGGGTTGAAAACAGAACAGTCTTTGAGTCTTTTCACATGTGTCCCAACCCACATAGATCCCCCCCAAAGGGCAGATGCACTATGGCATGATGTGCTTAAGCTCAACCTCTGACCAGGCACTGGCTGACCACAAAGCTGTGCTGAGCCAGGGACAGCCCTCAGGAAGACTGGCGAGAATTACAAAACCAAAAAATACACAAACAAAACCCTAAGCAGAGACGTCAGTTGCTGCGCACCCTGGGGGAGACAGACTCTGCAGAATTAGTTTAGGGAAGTCACCACACAAACAAACAAAGTAACAGTGACAACCACCACCATCCCTAGGGTGGGGAATCAGAATCACAGCTGAGGCAGGGGCTGCAGGGACATACACATTTGTTAAACCTCGTCACAGTAACACAAAACTGTGTGCACTTTACTGTATGAAAATTACATCTCAGTAAAGTATTGTTCTTAAATATGACCCTCCCTTAGCCCAAAATTCTACTCCTTAAAGGCGACCAGTTACTTTTAGTAAGTACCCTTTAAGACTCTTTTCTGTATATATACAAATTCAAAAATACAAATGTACACATTTTTTACTAAAATGGCAGCAAACTATAGAAACTATTCTGTAACTTGCTTTTGTTTTTTCATCAATAATATATCACAAACCTCTTTCCCCAGGAAACATACAACTACTTTATCTTTCTTTAAACAGCTACAGGTATTCCAGCATGCACATATACAATAACATATTTAACCAAGACCATTTTTATGGACATTGTTTTCATTTTTTTTTTTAAACAGAGTCTCACTCTGTTGCCAGCACTAGAGTGCCGTGGCGTCAGCCTAGCTCACAGCAACCTCAAACTCCTGGGCTCGAGTGATCCTCCTGCCTCAGCCTCCCGAGTAGCTGGGACTACAGGCATGTGCCACTATGCCCAGCTAATTTTTTCTGTATATTTTTAGTTGTCCAGCTAATTTATTTCTATTTTTAGTAGAGACGGGGTCTTGCTCTTGCTCAGGTTGGTCTCGAATTCCTCAGCTCAAACAATCATCTGATCCTCCTGCCTTTGCCTCCCAGAGTGCTAGCATTACAGGCGTGAGCCACTCCGCCTGGCCATGGATATTAATTTTTGAAAGTTTCCCATGGAAGTGCCATTTGAGCTGAGACCTGAAGTTTGAAAAATGTTGGAGAAGAGGTGGGGTTTTCCAGGGGAAAACATTGCAAATTGCAGAGGGCCCAGGCAGAAAGGAGCAGTGAACCTGAGGAGCTGAGCTGTGTGTGATCTTCATGGGTGAAAGACACTGGCAGAGGGAAAGTGGCTCCACTGAGGACGCAGGGGTCAGCAGCAGCAAGACCACAAAGAACCTTGGGGCCAGGGTTGAGGTGTTCAGTGTTCAAGCCAGGCAGTGGATAAGCCACCAAAGGGCTGTAAGAAAGTAGAGTAGCATGCTCTGATTTGTGTCTGGATGGGACTGGGGTCCTGGGGACTTCTAGAGTTCAGGCTAGAGACCACAGCAGCCTGGACTGTGGTGACGGCAGTGGAGACATGCGCTCAGTCAACTTACAGTCACATCTGCAGTATTAGGAGAACCTTTCACCTTGTTGCTGTGAGGAGTAGATATTAGCAATCTTTAGTATTCTCTGTTCTGATTACTATTATAGTAAAGTTAAGAATTTTTTCACATGTTTACTGGCCATTTTTCTTTCTTTCTTTGTGGATTTCTTTATATACTTGGCCCAGTTTCTATCGGATTGTCTGTCCTTGATTTGAACCTGTTTACATAGCATAGATTTAACATCTTGTTGTCATGTATGTTGCAAATAACTTTTTCAGTTTATTGTTAGTTGACTTTGTTTGTAATGTCTTGGCCATATAAAAGATTTCTGTTTTCATGTAGTTGAATCTGTTCCTTCTTTCCTTTGTGGCTTTTACAAGGCCTTCCCTCCTCCTCACACTAGCTTGGACTCCCACTGATATTTGTAAAAAGGGCAGGGACTACAGTAGCCCCTCACCCCAGGAAGCATGCAGGTGCAATCAGGTTGCAGCTCGCTGTCCTAGGAAATCTAAGGGAGGGCTCAAATCTGTCAATAAATGCCAGCTATTATTATGACTATAAAGTCCTGGAAGAAAAGGAAGGCATTCAGGCCAATTCTCCTCTGCAGGGAGAACTAGTCTCTACTCTGACTGTGGAGTACATTTTCTATACTTTCCAAATAAAACTCACTTTCACTTAAAAAGAAAAAAAGAAATAAAAAAGGTGGCATTCACAAATTATACACTTTTAAAACAAAGCTGCTGCAGGATCTCAGCAAGTGAAAGCACACTGGGAACGTCAGTCTTAAAACATCAGGACCAGCATTTAGTGCCACTGGTATCCATACCAGGAGATTAACCAAGCCCCTTCTCTGACTGGAGGCAGGGCAGGGGAATGTTCCTCAGCCAACACTACCCAATCCCACCAAACCCAGAGTTGTGTAGCCCTAACCCCAGCTATGGACTTTCTGTTCTAGCTCCTCCTTGGTGGGGACCGAGGAGCAAGAATCTGCAGAGGACTGAACAAAACACTTGCTTTGGGGTGAGGCTCCCCAACAAAGGTGAAATGAAGCAGATGGGCTGGGGACAGGCAGCCCTAAGAACCTCTTTGCCAATGTGCTGGTCTAAATAGGACCTGGAGCCTACACACTCAATTACACATTTTCTCAAATCTGCCCAGAGCCCTAGTAACATATTTCTTAACAGAATAAAAGAGAAAAGGGCTCCTTCCACACTTCTGTGCAACAGATAAAGAAATCGGTGTTCCTGATGATCTGGAGCCAGGATGCCTTTCTTCCAGCTTTCCCGGGACTAGTTTTAGCAGAACAGCAACCCTTGACAGGCCTTTTGTCTAGAGCAGGAGTCCTCAAACTTTTTAAACAGGGGGACAGTTCACTGTCCCTCAGACCGTTGGAGGGCCGGACTATAGTTTAAAAAAAACCCTATGAACAAATTCCTATACACACTGCACATATCTTATTTTGAAGTAAAAAACAAACAGGAAAAACCACCTGCATGTGGCCCGCAGGCCATAGTTTGAGGACGCCTGGTCTAGAGCACTGTGTGGTACACAGCAGATGCTCAGTAAATGTTGCTGAATGAAGGACACACCACATCCAAAAGTGGTAGAGAGAGTAAAAGCCTCAAGGAAAAAGCCAGTGAACAATCTGGCACTGGCCTTCCTCCAATCCCTGACTGCTCTCTTTATCCAGGGAACATTTGTGCTGAGTACTTACAAATGCTGTCCCCAAGTCTTTAATCAGTAAGTGGCTCCTTCTCACCAAAGAGTAAAGTGTCACATGATCAGCCATGGATGCAAAGCTCAATAAGAGACTTTTATGCCATCTTAATATGCAATATATCCACAAACTTTTAAACTACTCTGCTCCTTTCTGTCCCCACCTCTTTACTCATCCTTCCAGCCTCAGCTTCAATGTAATTTCCTCAGACAGGCTTTTCTGTCCCCCTAATCTAAACTGAACCCTCCCACCCAGCACTGAGCATCACACCTGTTCTGTTCCCTCATGTGCTAATCATGCTTTATAACTGCACATTTATTTATATGCTCATTTGTTTAATGGATATGTATCTCACTAAACACTAAAAGCTCCATGAAGGCGGAGATACAATTCTTCCCCAACTGTATATCCATTAAAGTAACAGCACATAGTACTCAATGCTCAATAAATAGTTTTGAGGCAATCAACAAAGCTTTAGTTTTTCCTTTACCTCTGGGGTTCCTGGGGAAAGCACTACACACTTCAAAGCCATGCTCACTAGGCTGACCGCCTGAAGGTTATATAGCAGCATCAGTGAAAACTGTCATAGCCAGATCAAGCTGTTTTGATCATTATGTGCTATACCACATTTTGGGATGAGTCATTTAAACTGATTTGAGTTTGCTTCCTCATCTGTAGAGTCAAGAAACTGAACTTGATAACTCTAAGGGCTCCTTCCAGGATTGTAACGGACCCACTGATGATTAAAGAAGAAAACAGGTTACTGAGGAGAATACCTCTGGAGTTAGGCTGGCCTGGACAATCTAGCTCTAAATCCTTCAGAATTCTCGTGGAGCATGAACTACTTGGCAAGGGGCACAAATTGTGGGTCTCAGTTCAACCCTATCTGTGAGGCTCCTTCAGCATTCTATTGTCCCAGCTAATTTGATAGCAACAAATAAATTTCCACTTAGTTAAAACTGGGACTCTAAGTCAAAGATTACAGAAAATCCCTCTAAACCTTCAAAAGAGCCAAGCCATGATTCATAAAACACATTAAGGCAAACTTACCTTGATACGAGGCATAGTAACTGTAGGCGGCTTTGCTTCAGCCACAAAATTGTGAGATGCTCCTTTTTCCACAAGATAAGTTGTGTAAGGCATAAATTTCACACCCTTTGACCCAAACACAAAATCATCTCTCAAGGCATCTATCAGAACAATAACAACTTTACTGAAGAGAGGTGGTGGGAGCTTGGTCCAGTTAGAACTGGATCCTAAGAGTTTCAAAGAAAAAAAGGAAATTGAATTTTAAACTTAGCATTCAAGCACCTTTATAATCTAGCTTCTGCCTACTTCTCCAGCACATATTCTGCCATATCTGGACCCAAAAGAAGGAGGCCTGTACTTGGCAGGCAGTACTGGGAGGAGGGGGTGTTAAGGGCAAGTAATCTTAGGGAGCCCTAGTTGAAAGTAGTGAATTGCCCTTAGCATGGTGAGGAGTACTGGGACAGCGGAGTCCCTACATAAGGGTACTGGAATGGGTGGGACATTGAGGGAGCTTGACCTAAAACACTGCGCTGCAGGTAAGGGATGAGTTTACAGTGTTTACAAACACTGTTTACATGGTCAGTGGCTGGTATTGTGTACATCTGGTACAGAACTGGAGTGCCTCTACCTGGTGGGTGTTCTGGGTAGGTGAGGGCAAAGCAGGGGCCTAATGCAGGAGCCTTAGTCACTGGCTGGGGTGGGGGTGGGGGGAAGGTCTTGGAATAATGTCAAGGAAGAAAACACAAGGGGGTCAGCAGGAATCTTATCTGTTGTGTCCTACTGGGCAAACGAGGTGCCCACAACAGATAGTGACCCAAAGGGCTGCTCAGGAAAGAGGAGAAGTAGTCACGGATGAGTAGAGCTAGAGAGAGGCGGGATCCCGGGTATAGATAGCTTACTTTGTGGTGATCAGGAAAGTAGGTCGAGATGGGGCCAGTAGTGGTGGTTGCCACAAAGTTGTAGGATACAAAAAAAATGCTGGGGAGGTTTAAAAAGGGAACACAATGGAAGAGACCACCGGGAACACCGAGGCTCAGAAAAAGGGTCCTCTGGGGAAAGTGGGGCCCTGGAAGCGGAGAAGCCAGGGGAGGGGTCCGTACCCGCCGAGGGTTCAGGCGCCGGGGGCTCTGCTCGATGCTCTGCCCTGGCAGAGGAACGAACGGGAGCTGGGAAGAATCCCCGAAGGAAGACTGCGACCCCCAGCACCTCGATCGCCACGCAACAGGCAGCGAAGCTCCCGGAGCCCAGCCGCATCGTGCACACTGCCAGGCCGTGATGCAGGGACCAGACCCACTCGGAACCTGGCCCAGCCGCAGCCACTTCCGGCTAGAGCTGACAACTCTACGGGCGACGGCTCCCTCAGTTGCGTCACTTCCGCAGGCGCGCCGGAAATACGCGAGGGACGGGACTCTCAGGCGCTTGCGGCCGGCTTTCCTGCGAGTCCCCGCCCCCGGAGCCGTGCGCCCGTGAGTCAGGGTGTTTTTAATTTTTTATTTTTAATTGACATGTTGTAATTGTACATATTTATGGGGTACAATTTGATATTTCCGTATATATATGTTGGGTAATGATCACATCAGGTGTTAGCATGTCCATTACCTCACGCGTTTGTCATGCCTTTGCGGGGAGAACTTTCAAAAGCCTCTCTTGTCGATTTGGTGACATACCTTGCGGTCAGCCGAAGTCACCCTGCTGTGCGCTAAACCTTGGAACATATTGCGCCCATTGACCAAACCCTCCTCAGTCTCCTCTCCCCCTGCCCTCTCGTCTCTAGTGACCACTGTTCTACTCTCTGCTTCCAGGAGACCTCCTTGGTGTACTTTAGATTCCACATGTGAGTGAGATCATGCAGTGTTTGTCTTTCTGTGTCTGGATTATTTCACTTAACATGATGTCCTCCGGGTTTATCCATGATGTTGCAAATGACAGGACTTCATTCTGTTTATGGCTAAATAATATTACATTGTGTATGTATATCATATTTTCTTTATCCATTCACCCATTGTTGGACACTTAGGTTGATTCCATATCTTGGCTATTGTGACTAGTGCTGCAGTAAACATGGAAGTGCAGTTATCTCTTCAACATAACTGATTTCTTTTCCTTTGGTTATATACACAGTAGTGAGATTGATGGCAATATGGTAGTTCTAATTTTAATTTTTTATGGAACTACAATACTGTTTTCCATAACAGCTGTACTGACTTTCAATCCCACCAACAGTGTGTAAGTGTTCCCTTTTCTCCATATCCTCACCAACACTTATTTTATTTTGTCTTTTTGATAATATCTATTCTGCTAATAACTGGAGTGAGGTGGTATATCATTTTGAATTTGCATTTCCCTGATAATGAGTGATATTGAGCATTTTTTCATATACCTCTTGGTCATTTGTATGTTACCATTTAAGAAATGTCTAATAAGGTCTTTTGCCCATTTTTAAATCAAGTTATTTGTTTTTTGCTATTAAATTTCTTATATGTTTTGGTTATTAACCTCTTGTTAGGTGCAAATATTTTCTTCTGCCAATGTTGCTTTACATCTGGGTGAGGGGAGAGGAGAGGAACAGTGGTGAGAATGGCCGTATACAGACAGAGTTAGGTGGATAATGGAATATAATTCCCAAATCCATAGGCAGATCTCTGAAAGCTGCTGATGGCTCTGCTCCAGTCTTTACCCTCCCAACACTCTCCCTTACTGCCTGTAATGTATCTGAAGTGCTCTGTGTCCACACCGTGAACCTACACAGTGACACTTCCTGCAGGCACACTGCTCCAGTCTACACCCTCCCAACAGTCTCCCTTACTGCCTGTAATGTATCTGAAGTGCTGCTCTGTGTCCACACTGTGAACCTACACAGTGACACTTCCCGCAGGCACACTGCTCCAGTCTACACCCTCCCAGCAATCTCCCATACTGCCTGTCATGTATCTGAAGTGCTGCTCTGTGTCCACACTGTGAACCTACACAGTGACACTTCCCGCAGGCACACTGCTCCAGTCTACACCCTCCCAGCAATCTCCCATACTGCCTGTCATGTATCTAAAGTGCTGCTCTGTGTCCACACCGTGAACCTATGTGGTGGCACTTCCCGCAGGCACACTGCAGAGGCATTTCTGTTGCCTCATCACTGTAAATGGCAGCTATTTTTCTTTAAGTGTTTATTGGATACTTGCTAGGTGGGGCGCACAGTCCCAAGGCTTTTACAGAGGTGTGACAATCAGTACTGCCAGCCTCCTGGGCTCTCTAGCCAGTAGAATTATATTGTGGGTTGTCTTGCGACACATTTTCTCAGATTTTGTTTTTTATCTGACAATGTCTTTATTTTTCCTTCATATTAAAAAAAAAAAATTCCACTGGAAAGAGAATCCTTTCCATCAGCATGGCCCCTCCCAGAGGCCCCAGCCCCTTGGCCCTGCCTGTGCTCACAAAATGTCTCCACTTCTTGGGAGGTGATGTCTTCAGCCAGTGCCCACTGCGTGGCTATCCCCGCTCCTGCTGCTGAAGGCCAGGCCTGCCTGGGTGGCATCAATGAGGTTGCAGGCTGTGGGGCCAATTGGGGGTGCAGGCATCTCTTGGGGGCAGGGCCCAGGCCTGGTGGGCAGGGGCTGGGTGGGGAGGGCAAGTGTGAGTCTGGGAGGGGTGAGGACAGAAGGGGTTATGGAGGGGAGGAGTGAGGATTAGGGCTTGCAGTAGGGTTGGAGTTGGGCTGGAGTTGGAGCTAGGGCTGGGTTTAGGGTTAGGGTTGTGGGTTTTGGGCCAGTGCTAGAGTTAGGATTTTAGGGTCAAGGTTAGGGTTAGGGGTTTAGGATTAAGGCTAGGATTGATGATCCCATGGTTAGCAATAGGCTAAGGTTTGGGTTTAGGATTACAGAGGCAGGCTCAGCTTACAGAGCTGTGTGTCTCTAACACCCTTGATTGGCTTCCTTTGTAATCCGTCTGTTACCTCTAATCTCAAAGCTTCCTTAACCTGGCAGCTCAGCCAAGGGCTTCTCTGTACACACCAGGATCATCATCAGGTCCCATTTCCCTTGGAATCTTGTTCATAATTCCCCATATTATTGTGTAATATTTCCAGAGAGATCTGGCTCTCTGATATGTACTTAAAATTCCTTGGCTTCCAGTTAAGAAGTAGAATTTTCCGCAACCTTTGATTCTCCATGCATTCTGCTCGCAGAGCCACTTCTCACACAGATTACTCTTCCTGCTTGCTTTTACAAGCTACTTTTACAATTTTTAAGTTTTTCCTCAAAAGCTTAAAAGGTTTCAGGTACTTTCTTCATTACTTTTGATCAATTTGCCAACTCTAGCTCCATCTGTTTTCATTGGACTTGACATTGTTAGCTACTCTGGAACAAGAGAACTCACCCCAGGAAAATGATCCCCCAAATCACATGCTGTCCAGACAGTCCAGGCTCTGCAGTCCCACAACAGGGGTCTTCAGGCCTTGGGCTCACTGGCCTCTCACAAGCCGAGTCATTCTTTGAACTGACTTAACACCAATGGTGCCTCCACGTTGAGCTGGGACCCCTGATGTTTCTTAGTCTGCCTGGTGCAGCATCAGCCACCTCTGCCTCATGTTCTTGTCCCAGGCTCCTCGCACCAGCTTTCATCCTGAAGCCTCCATGGGAGGCGGGCCCTATAGGTTAGGCTGCAAAGTACACCAGACCCTCTTGGAAAGAACTGTTGAGTGGGTCCTCACCTGGGACAGATTTGCTGGCCTGTGTAGTCCAGGGTCGGATGGGATGACGTAGCCCACCTACTTTATGGAATTCAGATAGGTAGGGCCAGGCCAGGTGGGTGAGGGCTAAGGGTACAGTTAGGGTTAGTTTTAGGGTTAGCTTTGAGTTAGGCTTGGGACTTGGATGAGAATGAGAATTAGGGTGAATGTTAGGGTTAATGTTAGGGATTAGTTATAGATGTTGCATCAGGGATAGGTGTTAGATTAAGTTTGAGGTTGGGCCCAGGTTGTTTGGCCCTCGGTTAGGTTTCAGTTTAAAGGCTGGAGTTAGGGTAGTGTTTGTTAACCACAATCCTTGGGGTTAGGATTGGGTTTGATATGAGTTAAGGTCACCATGATCACTTGGAAAATGGCTGGGCAGCACGGCTTTCTGCTTGCTCAATAACTCTGTCTCATACAAGACACTCAGGGTTATTTAAAAAAAAACAAACGAACAACTCTGTCTCCTAGAAATCTGTCTCTTAGGAATCATGTTGGTAGTAAGGGTTCTGACAGCATTGCCGCTTGGCTTGCTGGAGTCCCTGCTATTCTGTGTCCCCAGTGGAGAGTGGTGGTGGGCGGGGGTGGTTGTAGGGTTTCTCAGCATCTGTAGGAGAAAGGGCAATCTGTGAAGGGTACTGTCTTCATTGGAGGGGTGGCAGGGCAGTGGGTGTGGCCTGGCCAGGTTCCTTGCAGTCCCCTGAAAAGAGGGAATTGGCAATAGGGAGCTGGTGACATAGGGCTGCTGCTGACAGCAGTGCCCACATTTCACAGAAGCAGGAGTCATATAGGTAGTTGGGGACAGTTTTATGATGTCACCCACCCAACTCTCGTGACAGGGGCACAGTGGCAGTGAGGGGAAATGAAATGGGATCCCATGGTCTCCTGGAAGCTTAGGGAAGTAGTGTTTTTGCTGAGATCCTCAGTGTCTCCTGGAGGGTTGGGCGTCAGAGATGCATTTTGCCAGGCCCTGTTTGCATCCTGGACTGGGGAGCAAAAGGAGAGGGTATCAGTTAGGGTTAGGGTGTTAGGGTTAGAGTTAGGTTTAGTGGTTAGGGCTAGAGATAGGGGTTAGAGTTAGGGGCTAGGGGTGGGGCTGGGGGAAGGTTAGGTAGGGTTAAGGGATAGTTTGGGTTAGGGGGTGGGGTTAGGGATAGAGTTAGGAGTAGGGGTAGGGGTTAGACTTAGGGATAGGAGTAGGGTATAGGGTTAGGATTAGGTTTGGGGTTGGGGTTACGTTTAAGGTTTAGGGTTAGAGTTAGGATTGGGTTTAAGGTTAGGGTTAGGGTTTGTGCTGCCCAGTTTGGCTTTTATTCTCCCTCTAGGGTACTCTTCAATTGTCAGGGTCTATTAGGAATTGGGTGCTCACGTGGAGAAGGGTGTGCTGAGGGAGTCATGTGGGCCCCCATCCCCACTCTGCCCATTTGCTCTGCCATCCCCAGCCCAGAAAGACCCAAACTCCCCTCTTCCCCTTGTAGCACTGATCAGCATGACTAATATCTCTAAGAGGAACTTTACTAAAAACCAAGGGAAATGAAGAAAATACAGATGATGTAGAAATAAATAGTCAAGGGCACATTCTTGATCATAGATAATGGGTGTCTGGCCGCAGTCTGCTGGCGGGAGGCACTGGCTTGTCTGCGGGGTCCCCCTGGTTCCTGCGGCTGCCCAGCGTGTGTGCGGATGGTGTGTGGGAGGCTGATGAAATGCACAGTAGGTGCTCTTGTGGGTTGCCCTGTGCAGTTGACGCTGCCACTGGTCTCTTGGCCTGGAGCCTCCACCCAGCCCTCCTCAACGTCACTCTGGACTCAGATAGAATGAGACGCCGTTGGCCACAGACCAGGTGCTTCCTCTGTCCTGACCACGCCTGGCTCTGTCTGGCGACGCCGCAGATGGGGCTATGTTCCCTGCCCCGCCACTTGCAAGGGGTCTCTAGGCCTCTCGTCCACTAGGTCCCACTCAGTATGGGGCTGTGCCATGCTCCAGAACCATCCCCAGCTCTAACAGCAGCTGAGTGAGAGCCGCTGGGGCCTCTGCTGCTCCCACCCAGTGGGGCTGGTCTGCGTCCACCCAAGTCCTGGCTTCTGCACGGGCGGCTGCAGTTCCTAGGGGCGTTTGATGCTGAAGGGAGCCCCATGGTGGGGAGGGCCCCTGGTCCTAGCTGCTCACCAACCTCAACCATAGTAATGGACTTCTCTGCCCTGAGGCAGAGAAGTCCATCTGGATCCCCAAGTCCCCATTCTTGCCCACTTGGGATTGCTGGTGCTGGCGTCTGCCCACGCTTTGGAGGGGTCTTCAGTGAAACTGCTGTTTTCTGGTACCCATCAGTGGTGAGCAGAATGCATTTGTTGCCATCCTGAAAACTGGGGTAGGAGAACACAAGATTGATGATGACTGTCCCTGCAGTCTGGTCCAGTGACCAACTGATTTTCTGTGGCTCAGTAGATGGGGGCCTGTCCAGGAGCTGGGGAGAGGGCACCTTGTCCAGCTGCGAGTGAGCTGATGGGGGTGTGGGTCACATCATCCTTGCCTGTTGGGAACCGAGCCGTCCTCTCTGGGGCCTGCCCCCACAATTTCAGCCAGCCCACAGCCACCTGCCACCCTGAGCCTGATTCCAGCTAGACCCCATGTGGTCTTCCTGGTGGAGCAGACTACTGTCTGCTCCATGGTCTGCTGACTGCTCCATGGTCTGTGTCTCCTGGAGCTCACTCCTTGGCCATGATCTCTGCCTGGGGTGGGGGTGGGGGCGTCTACTGGAGTCATGCCGTGGCCCGGCAGTGTTGGGAAGGGCAGGCTATGGCTGCTGCACGTGGGCTCAAGTGCCCCAGGATGGGCCAGTGGTGTTTACTGAGGGAACCAACGGCAGAGCAGGGCTGTACCTCCAGGGGCCACAATTGGGGTGCATATAGGGAGTCTCATCCAGTGAACCCCCTGTGGCCTGGCACCTGTTCAGCAGGAAGAGCTTCAGGCTGGAAGGGAGCCATTGTCCTGGTGCAAAGCCCACCTCAGGCAGACCCTGTGAGTCTTGAGCAGGAGGGACGGGAGGTCGGGCTGACATCTACCAGTGAGAGTCCTTTGGATGGGGAGAACGTGTATGCACCGCCCAGTCCTAGCACGTGCTTGGGGTATCCCTGAAGCCCCAGGGGCTCGACCTGAACTGTGAACAGGAAGTGCTGCTTTACCAAGAAGCCACGAAAGTGGAAAATTCCACCCCAGATGCTACAGCAGCTGATACTGAGGGATGAGTAGGTGGGTGCTTCTTGGGGCCTCACCAGAAATGGGTGTGGCTCTTTGAGGGGCCTGGGATGGCAGCATGTGATGTGACCTTGGCTCCTGACCCTTGGTGTGGGGGAGCCAGCATCCCGGAGTGTGGGGACAAGGCCAGGCGATAGCTGAACCGTGGGTGCCCAGGCCCTGGTGCCACTGGAGAGAGCTGGCAGATGCCTCTGCCTTCACCATCACAAACATGCCATGTGCTTCCTGGAGACCCGGAACTAGGAGCTCAAGAGGCCTCTGTGGGGTACACCTGCTCCAGGGGATCCCTGTGCTCCCAGTCCACCCTCCCCAGCAGGGCCGAGAGCACCCGGAGGCCAGCTGTTGCCAAAGGAGATAGGAGAAGGCCCACAAGTGTCAGGGCTGAGGGCCCTTCTGTGCTCATGGAGGAACTGTCCTTATGAACCTTAGTGAACACCTGTCCACGTGGCCTCTGACCCCACAGACTTTTGGGAGTGGATGTGGTTTCTCATGGTCTCCTGGCTGCTATCATGAAACACCCACCTGCACCAGAATTTGACACCAAATCCAAGGGAAAAACAGGACAGCCTGACTGCACTTGTGCTAGCCCAGCATCTTGGGGTCATGGCATCTGGAAACTGCACTGCAAGGGACAGTGAGCACCTCTCCTGGCCGTGCCATGGGCCCTGGAGCTGAGGAATGGGAGGGATCAGAGGAAGCTAGAGGAGGGCCCACAGCTACTCACAGCCCCTTCCTGCTAGGCCCCCTTTTCACTTAGAAGGCTGGAACAAGGGTGATTGGCCCAGCCTTTCCTAAGGAGACGGTGACATGCTTTGGTGAGTGGTGGGCGGGCCGGGCAGGTATCCCATGCGGTGCTTCCTGCATTATGTGAACATGCCTGGCCCTTGAGGGAGGTCTGGGATGGAGAGCTGGGGGAGGTGAACCCTGCTCCCGCTTCCCATTGTTTTCCTTGGCAGCTGGACGCTGGCAACTGTGCATCTTCCCTCTGGAGGCTGCGGTTCAGCGGGTGCTGGGGGTGTGCTGGTCCAGGTAAGGGCAGATCTCCAAGCAGGTCCAGGTGTGGGAGAGGGGGTGTGTGGGAGGAGGGGACACCCTTCAGATGCCTCAGGCTCCTCTCTGGGCAGTGATGGCCCAGCCCCAGGTTGCTACATGACCTTCTCTTGCACAGGTCAGGGCAGGGCCTTGTGGCTGTGGACACGTGGACAGGCTAAAGGCCAAGTCTCTCAGCCTGGACGATCTGCAGCAGGGGTATGTGGGGGGTTAGGGTTAGGGTTGGCCTGCAGGGCCCAGACAGGGCCCTTAAATGCACTGTAGCAGCATCCACACAGGCAGGGCCTGCACCTCACTTCCTGCAGGGCTGACCAGCAGCTGGAGGTGGGACTGGCCAGGCTTGGCCCAGCCATGTCTGGGACCAGAGGACATTCCACGGGAGCACCTGGGCCTCCCTCCCTGGCCTGTGGCGCCTCTGGCACAGACGAGGGGCAGAGAAATACAAGAGCTTCCCCAGGTCCCGATGGGTGGCACATCCTGGCAGCAGGCCAGCAGAGTGGCATGGTGGTCAGCATGCTGGGCTGTAAGGCTCAGCCCCTACCTGCTGTGGGCCAGTGGGCCAGGCGCATAACCCCTCTGTGCCTCCATTTCTTCAATAGCCAACGGGGCAATAGCAGTCCTGACCTCCTCATGGGAGGTCTGAGAATTAAAGGCACAGGGCAGTGCCCCCACAGTGAGAGCTGGGGGAGGGGTGCCGCCATTCTAGGACCTGCTAAGGGAACCCCACTGCCTCCTCCTCTGACAGGTGAGGAAACTGAGGTTTGAGGACTTGACAGGACTTGCCCAAGGCCACACCGTGAAGAGCTAGCAAGGGGCACCTGCCCAGGTCTGTTGTACTCACCGTCCTTCTCATATTCAAGGTCAGCGCACACAGCAGGCTGACTCTGGGAAGGGCCTGGGCCCTAGACACTCCCCAGGAAGCAGACCAGGGAAGGTGTGTTGGCAAGTTCAGTAAGTTGCTGCAAAACCCATTTATTGCTATTTGACCCCTGCTTTTGGGCCTCCATTTCCCAGAAAATGAGGCACCTGGAGACTCTGGGAGAGTTCAAGGTCCCCCTTCCACAAAGCCCCCTTCCTGGGGACTGTCCTCAGGGTGGGTGGCTGGGTGCCAGCCAGGGGGCCCGCCCGCAGAGCCTCGGGGGAGCCAGGTTGATCCTGCGGACATTGAGCTCAGTGGCAAAGGTCCGTGCCTTCTGGTAGAAGAAGAGGGACTTCTCGCGGTCCAGGAGGAAGTTGTGGTAGATGGTGGCCAGTCGTGTGTAGATCTTTAGCTGGGCCTTCTTGTTGCCCAGGTCCACGGCTGCCGCCAGCGCCAGCTGGTAGTACCCGGCTGCATCGAATGGGTCCTGAGGGGAGATGTTGCGGTCAACCCAGATTCCTCATCTAACTCAACCTGTGGCAGGGCATGAGGGGCACAGAGCCCATGTCCCCAGAGGTCCCTCCTGTCCCTGGTCGCTCCATTGTCTACACCCCACTCTGGTTCACCCCTTGAGCCCTGTATCCTGGGACACTGCCGCAGCTTAGCCAGCAGGATGGCCGTGTGCCCAGGCATTCCAGCTGCACTTCCTGGGAGCTGTGCCAAGGAGGTGCCACATGGGTCCAGGGCTGGCTCTACCAGGTTCCATGAGACCCAGAGGGCCAGGTGGGCCTGGAATCAGGGCGTTTCAGGCAGCCCCCTGGGTCTCCCCATGTTCTGGACCCCCGTAGAGGCTCCCTTCCTGCCCTGACTCCACCTGGAAGCCTCCCCAGCTGTCCCTCTATCCAGGGCCACCCAGCCTCTGCCAGCCCCTCACCGTGGGCACTGGCTGCTTGCCCCTGGCCATGGTTCTGTTGGGTGAGCATGTGAGTAACCCAGCCTCGCTCCAGCCTTGTCTACCCTGATGCCACCATTTCTGGGCCCTTCCACCGGCCAGCCCTGGCACAAAGCACCTCACAGGCATCAAATCTGGAAATCTTTGCTGAAACTTAGATGGTTTGTGACTCCCCCGGACATCCACTCCCATCTCAAATGCATCTTTGCCTCAAACCCACCAACCCCAGGTCAGGACCCCCCCCCTCCTACCTTCCACCCGACCAGGCCCCTCCTCCACACCAAGGTCACCGAGGGACCCCCTAGGCCCCATACCTGGCCCCTGCCCTCCCTTCCCTCTTTACCATCTCAAGAGGACTCCCCAGGGCCAAGGACGAAGTCCAAGATTCACCAACCCTTCTACTCCCCTAAACGGAGCAAGGGCCCAAGAAGAGAAAAACCCGTTGTGCAGCAGCACGGTGAATGCTCCCCCGGACCCTGCTGAGCGCTCCCCCGGACCCTGCTGAGCATCAGACTGTGCCAAGGCTCGTGGCTGATCCTGCTGTACCCTTGCTCCCAGTCCTGGGGGTCCGGGGTGGATAGTGACTATACAGGGTGGCCTGTGGGAGCCCTGGGAGGCACCCGCCTCAGCCTGGGGTGGTATGGGAGGGCTTCCTGGAGGAGGGGGCATCCCAACTAAACAGGAAGGAGCCAGCCAAAGTGTGCTCTGCTGTGTGTGCGTATGCCTCTGTGTGCGCAGGTATGCAACAGCGAGTGAGTGGCGGGCCCAGCTGGGGCTCACCCCAAACCCGTCCTACTCCAAGCCTCACTCTTTCCATTCTGACACATACGTGTGGACTGATGGTGGCCCCATTTTATTAATAGTGACAGTCAGCAAAGAAACCCATGGCACCTGCCTTCTGGTTGGCATTCCAGGCCCAGTCTGGGATGGGAAGGAGAGAGATGAGAAGCCATAAGAGGGTCTGCTCACTCAGGACACGAGGAGGGTGTGAAGTTGGAAAGATAATGGGCCCCGCCCAACACAGACTGAGGTGGCAGCGCAGTGCGCCCTGGGGAGTAAGGAGTGAGCTCTCTGCCCTTTGAGCCCAGCCTCACTCAGCCCCTGGACCCTGGCCTCTCAGCAGCGCCTCAGCCCTTTCCTTCCTCCCAGGTAGATGGGTGGCGGGTGTGACCACGGGGAGATAAAGGTCCCTTCTCCCAGGCCCTGTCCCCAGCAGGTGAGTGAGGGTCCCTCTGGGTGGCCTGATGTCTGGCAACTGGGGGTGGGGGTCGCTGCCTGGCTTGGATTTAGCAGCTGGCTGCAGGGACCACTTCTGGCCACCAGGTGTTGCCAGTGCTCAGCCAGGGCCTCTGGGCAGCCCAGGCAGGGGTGGAAGGTGCAGCAGGGTTGGGTATTCCAGGGTTGCCCCTGCTTCTCCTGCGTTCAAAGGCCCCTGTGAGCCCAGCCCCTGGACTGGGTGTCCTTGCCCCTCGGCCAACACAGCATGACACTGACACCGTGCAGGGACAATGCTGGGCTGGGGGGTGGGGTGGGAAGGGGGAAGTTGCATGTGTGGCAGCACCCCTGGTCCTCATCTGTAGGTGCTCAGCACGCCACTCCCCACAGGGCTGGAGCATATGGAAAAGAAGCCCCATCTGGTGTCCCTTGAGACAGACTTGAGGGGGTCCTCCCTCTGCAGCCTGAGTGGGACGGTAACAGACCTGCTCCGCCCACCTGGGTAAAGTGAAGGTTGAAAGGTCTCAGAATTCCCGGAAAGAGCTGCTCAGCACAGGCCTGTGTCCTGGGCTGGCTCCCTGGAGGAGGTGCCAGGATTTGGGCTGGATCTTACAACATGGGTCTAAGGTGGGGATAATGCTGATCCCCTCAAATGTCCTCCCCGGCCCCCACTTTTGTTAAATCCTACTTGACTGTCAAGACTCTGCTTTGGTGTCTCTTCCTCTGGGAGGCCTCCGTGACTATCCCTCTTCACCCACGGCTGCCATCGTCCATTTACCTGTCAGCCTCTCCTGACCAACCCTGAGTTCCTGAGGGTGGGGCCTGGGCAGCATGGGAACCCTGACACTGTCGGCTGGCCTCTGGGGGGCTAGTGGCCATTACTAAGGAAGGCTTAACCCAGGCCTTTGGGGTCTGGGTGCAGATCCCACTCCAAGTGTCCCCTGCCCCCTTCCCACCCCCACCTTGAGGTCGTAGAAGATGATGTCTCCTAGCACCAGGTACACCTTCACGTAGTACAGGGTCTCCTCGTCGAACTCCAGCGGTGAGCTGCAGAGCGCCAGGGCCTTGAGGTAGAAGTGCTCAGCCAGCTCACTGTGGCCCAGCCGGTGGTGCAGGGTGGCCAGCCGGTGGTAGGCTACGCGCTCATTCAACCGGTCCCCTGGGGACACAGGCAGGGGGCAGGTGTGAGGGCACAGGCCCATCAGGAGCATGCATGAGGACACTAGTGGTGCCCTGCCCTATCTCCAGGCACATTCAGGCCGTCACCTGGGCAGCCCCAGCCAGCCCTGCCTACCTCTGAGACTCACTTTTCCCACCTATAAAGTGGGGCTAACAATGCTACCTGCCTCATGGTTTGGCAAAGTCATGAGTTTGGACACCTCAGCTCTGTGCCTGCATACAGCAACCTGCACAGGGTGCCTTTGGTTACTGTTTTTAGTGAGAAGACCCCAAAAGGCATTCAGTCTGTGCACTCCAAGCACTAGGGCTCCAGTCAACTTGCAGAGGTGGCATTTGACCATTCTTGGGAGCATCAGCAGCAGAGCACCCTCCCAACCTTGGGAGTCACTGCATGTCTGAGTCCCAGGTCCTCTCCTGCACATGGACAAGCTGGCTTAGGTCATCTCTGGTGGCCACCCCTTCCAGTGCAGGTGCTGTGCTGTGAAGCCTGCATTCAACACATTCAAGCACTGCTGCACACCTTCTGCCAGGACCTGGGGCACGAGGTGCTGCCCAGCCCATTCAGGGCTCCCTCTCTGGAGAAAGACAGACTATCCCAGTACAGTGCAGTGAGGTGACGGGACAGAGGGATGCCTGGGACTGAGGGACGGGCTTCTAGAAAGGGAACTGGGATTTCATCAGCCAGAGAACAGTGGTGGTTGGCGAGGGTGGGGAAGGAACCAGCTCTCACAAAGGCACAGGTGGCCCAGCTTTGCACACTAGGCATCGGTGGGACACCCAGAGTGTCCCATATGGAATGAAGGGCATGTTGGGTGGCCCTGATGCTCAGCAAGGGGAAGAGGCTGATGAAGCCAAAGAGCTGGGCATGGCCTCGCCATGCAGGGAACTCTGCACTTCATAAGAGCCCTGGACTGTGCCCCCGGGGCTGAGCAGGGGAGCCCGCTGGTCAGATATGCTGCTGACCTCAGCCTGCCTGGGTGGGAGACCAGAAGAGTCTGGCAACCATTTCTGCTCCTGTCCTCCAGACCTGGAGGCAAGGGGTCTGGAGGGGCTGGACTCTGGTGGGGGGAGCCCTGGTGGGTGGGTGCCCTGGTGGGGTAGGGGCCCAGGGAGCGTACCCAGGGTGATGCTGAGAGCCAGGGCTGTGTGTGCAAACTCCAGGCCCTCCTGGGGCGCCTCCAGTGCAGCCAGCAGTGCCACCAGCTTGTTGCATAGCCGCAGCTCTGCCTCCTGGTTGCCTGTGGTCACTGCCAGGGGCAGTGCCCGGTCCTGCCACAAAGGTGGGTGGGGTCAGGCCTCCTGGAGCACCTCCATGCCCAGTGCCTTCCTCAGAGCCCCAAACACGTGCCAGAGCTTCCCACCTCACAAGAGAAACGTCAGCTTAGACACCCGAGCTGGGGCTGGAGAGTTGCCCCTGGCCTGTCCAGCTACACCATACAGCCCCAGATGAGCCCCTCCTATCATGGGCCTGACTGGGAGGATCTGGTGCTCAGCTCTGTTCTAGAAATGCCTTGTTATCTGGGCCTGGGCCTGAGCCGCCCTTGAGCTGTGGGGGCAGAGGAAGGGATAAGCCATCCTCCCTGGGGGCACATGGAGACCCGGCATCATCCTGGGTCCCCTACTGACGTGCTGTGTGTCCTTTGACACATCCCTGTGCCTCTCTGAGCCCCAGTTTCCTCATCTGTAAGATGTGAACAGTATTTCCTGGCCAGGGTTGTTTGAGATCACGGGGTGCATGTGTGAGACCAAGGCTGTTTCTGGGCCTTAAGTGACACCCACCCCACCCCAGTCAGGATGGGGTCAAGATCATGCCGGGTGGTGAAACACCAGGAAACTGAGCATGTGCATGGGTGGTCCTGCCTCCAGCTGCCTCTGCCCTCGGCACCCACCGGAAGCCCACCCATATAGATCCATGGCAGTGGCTCACCCGGTAGAAGGACACAGCTTTCTCCCGCTCCCTGGTCCCATTGAAGAAGATGTCTCCAGCTGCCTCGAACAGTTCCAGCCCCAGGTTGGGATCGCCTGTGTACAGGGCTGCATTCTGTGCCACCTACAAGGAGGCAAAAGCTCTCGAGGCCCATATACCTAGGAGGTGGCCAGGCCCACCCAGGTGGCAAACCGCAGCCAGCCTCTGTCCTCTCACACACCGCAGGAGTCCCTGTGCACTGGGGGCCTTCATCATCTGCTGGCACGAGGACAATTACTGTACACACCTGAGTGCCATGGGGCACCTGTGTGGCTGAAACCCAGGGGCCCAGGCGAGGCTGGTGAGAAGCTGGGACAGAGCTCAGCGCCACCCCACCCTGCCCACCACTCTGGGACCTCCGCATTCAGCTCTGGTGTCACTGGGCTCCCACTACTCCCTCCTTGTCCAGCCCACGGTTTCCCCTCTGAGCCCCTACTGACATGTCTCCCACCAGAAGGGTCAGCCCACAAGGATGGGCCTAAGACAGCAGGCTTCTCTGCTATATGCTGGGCCTCCCACAACGCCTGCGTGTAGGAGACGCTCAACAAATACCCGCTGAGTGAATGACTGGGCGGTCTGGCCCTGACCACAACCCAGCCAGACCCACCTGCTTGCCGATGCCTGGGGCTCTGCTGCCAGCAGCCCTCCTCCAGCTGAGGTGCTCGCCGCACGGCGCTGCTGCGCACACAGCCTTCCTGTCCCCAGGCTGCCAGGAGCCCACCCTATGGTTCCCGTATCCCCATGTCCCTGCCACAGCCCTGGCCCACGTCAGCATTGCTTACTGATGGGCTCAGTGCCCTCCTCGCCATGAGCCCCTGACCCTAGGTGCTCAGCCCCTGGCTCAGGCAGGCACACAGCAGATGCTCAAAAACAAAAAGCTCGTGAGGTGCGTGGGCCTCTCAATTTGTTCCAAGTCACGCTTGTTTGGGGAAGCATCTAAAACAGAGCTTCTATGTAAATGCATTTTTAAAGAAGACATGCCACATGCTGCTGCAGCAAGTCCTTGTATGTGTCACCTGAGTGGGTGCATGATTTGCACACTTACTGAGCATGCGCTGTGTACCAGCAAATGCCGGGCACTCCCACGCCTCTGCCCCAGGGAGCTTAGATGGCTGTGAACGTGCCAGCCCTGGAGGGAGCTGGGGGTGAGCGAGGGGGAACAGCATACAGCAGGTGCTCAGCAGTGGCTTTGTCACGAGTGAACACACACACTGGCCCTCCCTCCCGCCTCATCCCTGCACCTGGATGTACAGGTCCACCAGCTCGTTCTGCCGCAGGATGTAGTAGATCTTCCCCGCCTGCAGCCAGGCGTGTGCCTCCTTCTCCTTCTCCTGGAGGTCGATGAATATCCCCAGGCTCCGCTTGGTGTAGTCCAGGGCAGATTTGTAGGCCCTGGAACCAAACGAGGGTGTCAGGAGAGCTCCCAGGCAGGCCAGCCTCAGGGGACCAGCTGGGGTTCTTCCCCCTGCAGGTCTGGTGACAGGTGGACCTGGAGTATTGGGATGGGAACGGGCCCCCTGGCATGTGCAAATCCTGCCCTCCCCGGGCTTCTGGGAGAGCCGGGATGAACACATCTTGCATGGAAAAGATAAAGTATCTTCTTCTGAGGGAAATTGGAGTCACGCCAGCCAAGTGGCCAGGAGGAACATGCTATTGTCTCTCCCCCACCTCCCCAGACCAGCCTGTGCCTTCTCCGGATGCACCAGGAGCCATTAGCATGGAGCAGAGGTTTAAGAGTATCCAGGCCGCTGGTTCTCAGATGTGCAAATGTATCAGAGGACAGTCACATATAGCTTGCTGGGCCCTGTGGGGCCCGAGAACATGCACTTCCAACAGGCTTCCCAGTGACAGGGCCGGGGACCACACTTTGAGAAACACGGCTCTAGCACATAGGCCTTGAAACCGAGGCCAAGCCTGGAGCTGTCTCCCAAGTCCTTGTGGAGATGTGGCTCCTTCCCTGCTCTCTTGAGGGCTTGTCACTGCAGTGTGGCTGGGGCCATCATTACCCCACCAGGTCAGGACACTCTGTGGGCCACAATTGGGACATGGGACCCTGAAACTCTGCCTGGGGAAGCAGGTGAGACAACCAGCACCACCTTCTATGGGCGAAGAACCTCCAGGCACATGTGGCCATTGTGGTCACATTAGAGGGGACAGACAAGGGCCAGACCACCCTAGCCCAGAACCAGACCAGTGGGTGCAGATTCAGGGCAGGAAATGACAGCTTACAAAAGCCACTGTGGCAGGACAAATGGCCTAGAAATGCATGCACTGCCTCTGTTGGGGATGAGATACCTGTCTGGGAGGTGTTGCAAGCAGAGATGGGAGGGTGCATCAACCATCAAGGGAGGCCAAGCTGGGACTCAGGTCCTGAACAATATCAAGGCAACCCCAAGCCTACCCGAGGAGAGGGTCCACTGGGACCCTGGGCCCAGCTTCCCTGTGCGCCCCCAGCCCCCGCTGCAGAGCCGGCTCTCACCGCTCGGTGCCTAGGGACAGATAGAGCTGGCTGATGGTCTCCAGGAGCTGTCCCTCTAGCACCTTGTTGGCCACCCTGCGGGCCAGTGTGAGCTGGAACTCGTGGTAGATGACACACTGGGCCTCGCTGGGCATGACGGTGCTGTAGAAGTGGCACAGCCACTGGACGGCTTGCAGCTGGCCTGCATGGGGGACACAGAAAGAGGAGGTCGGCTTCATGGCCTCATGGCAGATGCTTGCGGGGTTCGAGACCCCTGCTGCAAGCCTGCCTCTCCCATTGCTCTGTGAGCCAGGGTCACTGCAGATGGGAAACTGAGCCTGAACAGCGAGGTG